AGGAGAGGGAGGGAGAGAGAAAACGAGAGAGAGAGAGAGAGAGAGAGAGAGAGTTGAAACCGGAGGAAGGAGCAATGGACAAGCTTCAGAACGCCTGCCTGGAAGAAGGAGAAAGAGGAAAAGGCTGGATCGGGGATGATGTGTGGTACAGAACTAGTCGCAGCGAGGACCATCAGAAATCGTCATCTAATAATAATAATAATAATAATAATAATTAGTTATCAAATAACGATGGCCCATCTAATAATACTAATAATAATAATATCATAATCCAATACTGGCCGGATGCACGCAACGGTCGTGGATCCGCCGGAAACAGAATACCAGGACCCTAGGTTAGACTCGTCCTCTACTACATAACTACTCCGTACCTAATTGTCTGTCTACTTGATAGTATTCCATCTGTTTATTGTTAAAAATTTAGAATCTTTCATAGAGTAATCTCCTAGTAGGATATTTCAATTTCAAAAAGACAGGGGAAACAGGGAAGGGATGACATTCTGGGCCAATTGCTTTTTCGCCGTGGGCCATCCACGCAACCCCCCCGGCTGCACCACAACAAGCGACAACCATACGCGTCGGACTAGTTTTTTAGCCGGGAACTAGGGAATAATATCACTATCGGTAGGGTGGGAGAGTAGTACCTAGTATCCGACCGAGATGTGGCTGGAGCTGGTAGAACTCTTGTTATGTGTACTCGTAGTAGTTGGTAGTTGGTAACGGTAGTAACTGGGAGGTAACTTAGTTAGTTTCCTAGTACCTAGGCACCTTAGTACTAGGTAGTAAAAGGTACCTAGGTACCTACCTATTAGTACTGTTAGTCTTGGTCTGTTACTGTCCGTCCGATCCACACATACGTGTACAACCACGACTGCAGGTTCACCTTAGCAGCTATACATAGTACAGTCTTGACCCTTAAAAATATAGGTACGGAGTACTCCGTACTTAGTTACAGAGTAACTACGGAGTGATATACTACATAGGTAGTAAGTAACTTGGTACCTAGCTACTCGTATGGATCGATCGAGAGCTTATAGCAACGACGCGGACAGCCTGTAGCATAATAAACATAAATAAACTTGGAGGTATTCTCCGGCAAACTGCAAGTCCCCTGCAAGTAACTCCTCCGTCCTCGAACTCTGTTGAATGTCAAATATTCCATCATGGCTGGTCGGTATGCAGTCCCACGGCAAGGATCGTCATGCCACTGTTTGCAGGGTGACCGCATATTTCATTCTACACATCGAATCTGCATTAACAGCTTTAGATCGGATACAGAGTAGGTACGGAGTAGTTGGGTAGTATACCATCTGTAGTCGTACTCTGTGTACTGTTCTGTTGAGATGATGAGCGAGTAATTAGTAGCAGAATAATATTATGGCCCAGACCTTGGAATGGCGATCCTAACGCAGCGTGGGGCGCACCATACCTTAATATAGATCGGAATTAATACTAGAGTTTTCCTATACCTAGGTACTCCGTACCTACGTAGTTGTATATATATATATATATAACTATATAATATAACATAGTTAACTTATGTTAGACTGGCAACTATTGTAATAGCTCCTCCGTACTCCGTAGTCGACAAGGTGATTCTGGTAGAACTGGAAACAGGAAATTCAAGGAGGTGGATCCGCGCGAATCTCTAACCAGCTAGTACAATGTAAATACAGAAGAGGTACGAAGTGCTGGTAGAATACTAGAATAGCTATCTAGCAGCTGTGGTAACCAACTAACTACTCGACGCTTATCTATACACCTGCAGCCCACTACGCTATGTAGCTGCCTGATTGCTAACCCAACTGTGACATTGTATCTGCTTAGCATCGCCGCTTTCATAGGTATCTTAAAAACCCAAGGTAGTTAGTTACCTAACTATATCAATCTGGCTAGCAACAGCTTGCCAACCTCCACCTCGAACAAGGATAGCTGACCACCAGCGAGCCACGCTCTCGTCAGCTTGTAGCTGATCTTAGAAGCCATTGTGTTCAACAATTTAGTAGCCGACAATGAGGATGCCTTCTAGAACAAATTAAATAAACCACTGACTCAATCTGCGATGTGGAAACAGAATACCAGGCAGTGTTTAGATCAATAAAGAAACTATCAATATCTTTATATTATATTCTACTAGGTCGTAAGTAAATGTGGCCTAAGGCAGCAAGTGATTACCTCAACCCGGCAATATCTACCAAGCCACTATAGATAACTACTCGTACCTGAATTGATACTATAACCAATGGCTGATAAATTTCATTGTGATATTGGAAAACTTCAATATATAAGGTTATCATATAGATACAGCCTGTGTAAGATTAAATTACCAGTCACCTCGGATACCTAGGTACTAAAACTACCAGCTAACTAACTACCTAGTACTCCGTACCTAACGCCATCATCGTCATCACTTCTAGTCCTCCAGGAAACAGGCTACAGCTAGATCCACCCTGATGCTCCGTAAGGACCCTCTCCTCGACCCGCCAATCAGCCCTGGGCTGATCTCGGTGATTCCATGAGGTACAAACGGGGCCAGTCAGCGCCGACTCTCTGAGACAACGCTCGGACAATGGAGACGTCAACCTCTGGTTAGGCTCTGGGCGGATCCATAAGGGACTGGGCACTCGACTGGGCACTGGACTGGGCATGCTGAGACTGGTGTAGGTAGCAGCAGTAGCTACCCTTCCTGATCCCCGAAATTCACTACTACATACACAATATGTAGAACCTGAAGGAAGATTACTCTACAAGTGGTACACTACGGTAGTTACACGGTATTCAACGGATGAGGCGACCGGTTGACTTTTCTTTCCTCTGAAATCGCCATCACGCCCCAAAAAAAAATAATAATAACATTAAAACATAATCACGAGATGAAAATGCAACAAGACAGACAGAGAGAACGTGTTTGACCATCCGGAACACCAGTCGGTGCTCTTCATGTACGTGGGCAGCGCTTTACGCCATGTAGGTGCTCGAGTCAACACCGCCCTCGGGGTATTCGCTAGAGATGTTAGCTTCACTTTGCAATCAGAGAGAGAAGGAAAAAAAAAAAAAACATACGGGAGAGCGACTTCGAATCGCTTCTCAATCTCCTTGAGGACCTTTTCATCGTCCTCGTTGCTCACAAAGGAGATCGACAGACCCTTGGTACCGAAACGGCCCGCACGGCCGACACGGTGCAGGTACGAATCGGCATCGGCGGGCAGATCGTAGTTGATGGCCAGGTTGATACGTTCGATATCGATACCACGGCCGAAAACGTCGGTCGCAACGCAGATCCGCTTGTTGAACTCCTTGAACTCCTTGTACCGTTTGATACTATTTTCTGTTAGTATAGTGTGATTCGGGGACGTCTTTTCTTATTATTGGCTTGGAATCCTTACCGCTCCTCCTGGCTAACACCAGAGTGCACGGCAATACTGGGGAAGTTGCATTCGCGCAGAAGCTTGTCCAGTTCATTCGCACGGAGGGTGCTCTTGACGAAGATGATCACCTGGTTGAACTCCAGGCTGTCGAGGAGATCGTTGAGCTTGCGGTTCTTCTCCGCCTCGCTCAGCTTGATGTAGTATTGCTGCAGACCGTGCAGGGTGAGCTTGGTGTCATCGTCGACGTAGACCTCGAGAGGATTACGCATGAACTTCTTGCAGATGGGGCGGATCTCCTGGGAGAGAGTGGCGCTAAACATCATGACCTGCTTGTCGGCAGGGGTCGCACGGAAGATCTCCTGCACATCGCGGCGCATGTCTTTGAAAAACGATTAGTTATCGGTATCAGTGCGTTGTTCGCCCCATGTAATCTACTCACCGATCTGGTCCAACATCTTGTCGCACTCGTCAAGAACGAACGCCTTGACGTTGCGCAGAGACAGCTTCTTATCGCGAACCAGAGCATTCAGACGGCCAGGGGTACCCACAACGATGTTGGGGTAGGTCTCCTTGTTCGAAAGCACTTCGACGTCCTTCTGGATGGGAGTGCCTCCGTAGAAGACGGCAGTCTTCACGTCAGGAAGGTACTTGCTGAAGCGAGCGTACTCGTTCTTGATCTGGTAGGCCAGCTCACGAGTGTGGCACATGACAAGCACGGAACACTCGCCGGGCACAGGCTCAAGCTGGTGAAGAGTGGTCAGGACGAAGACAGCGGTCTTTCCCAGACCAGACTTGGCTTGGCAAAGAACATCAACGTTCAGGATGGCAGTAGGGATGCACACTTGCTGGACTGTAGTAAGGCGGAGACGGTATGTTAGACTCTGTTCTCGATGGTTGAACTCAAGCAATGAAAAAAAGCAATTCGCGTTCGCAGGTGTCCGTCCATCTCCTGGTGGTGAGAATACTTGAAACCCCTAAAACCCTTCGATTGGATCTGTCGTCCACCGAGCTTACACCAAAAATACCACAGGTCTTCTCAATAAAAAAATTTTTTTTGTCTCAAGACCATTTGAAAGAGGCCTTCTGCAGTCGACACGAGGAACGCTAGTAACCTTCCGTGCGGTGGACGGCGTGTAATCACGGTCCCAATCGCAGCATCGGCCAATTCCTCCCTGATTCTTCGATGCTATATTGCCATGACGCCGTAACACGGTCTTGCTGCATAATTTACCAAGGCCTCAAAAAAGGCCATGGGGAAGAACAAGCCTCGAGAGGCGGTGGTAGCGCAGGTTGCCTCTTCTTTGTAGATAGAAGGCAACATCCTCATGTCGTCTGCAGGCTCGAACAGAATAACATGACCCAGCGAACAGAGTTTCTTGTGTGTTCTCATAATTTTCCCCCGCGGAGATGGACGGACGTTGGAACATGGAGCAATGGAGGGAGGCTTGTGGGAGAAAAATGTGTTAAGTTAACTAACCCTCCGATGGATGTTCGAAACCGCAATCGGTGATGGCACGGAGAAGCTCTCCCTTGAGCAGGAAGTCGCGGAAACCAGTCGAGTGAATACCGACATAGCTGCCCTTCTTGTCAGGGCGGCCGCCGGAGACAGTCAGATCGCCCTTCTTGGCAGCATCACCATTAGCGGCGGGGGCAGCGGTCGTCGCCGCCGCGTCGGTGGTCTGGAGCTCCTCGTCGGAGTAATCAATGAGATCCTCTTCGTGAGACATGTTGATGGATTTTCCGCGAACGAAAGTGGCGGGGTTCTGTTGGGAAGATGTGTTGAGCGGAGGAAGATTGGGCGCGAGGCGCGTGTCGTCTGACAACACTTAGGATCGGGGGTATCGGTATGTCACGGGGAAGAAAAGGCAGTTAAAGCCTAGAAAAAAAGGAAAGAGAAAGGTGTCGTAGAATTTCTCGTGAAGAACACGATGGATGGGGTCAAGTACAGGTGATGGCGAGGATTGCAAAGAGAGGATCCCAGGGAGCGAAGGCGAGAGTGGCTGCGAGGGATGGAGCAGGCTCAGCAGAGGATTGCCGGTCCCGTGACCGTGATGTTAGTCATACTTTCATGTGACTCTGGGACCAATCGTCAAAGCTCTTTACCGATTCCGGCTAGTCTGTCGATTGCCACTTTTACCACTGAACAGTGAAGAGCCTCTTTTTTGTTTGGCATAACTGCCATGGCGAAGGCCAAAAAAGGCCCCCCAGGAGGGGCGCAGAGACATATCCGGGCACGTCTAGAGTACCTCCACAAAGCGGCCGCATATCTGCAAGGCGCAGCGGTTTCTCCCAACCTGCCGACGACCGAGTCCTCTAGCAATGAGCAAGAAGGGAATCAGACCCTTCAAGCTTCGCCATCAACGAATCTACAGCCTTCTCAGACAAATGCTCTCAATCGCAAAATAGCCAAGTCACCTCTTGTCCATCTCTCGCAACAGTACATATCCCACATGCGTGGAGTATCCCTGAAGACCCAGCTCCGTTTGCCTATTCCCGTGAAGAGGTCGTTCTGCAAACGCTGTGGGATGATCCTTACTTCGGGAGTGAACAGTGTCCAGGAGCTGAGAAACGAGAGCAAAAACTCCAAGAAACCGTGGGCGAATGTTCTGGTCATCCGCTGCATGACATGTGGGACAGAAAAGCGTTTCCCTCAGACGCCCAACCGCGGCAAGAAGCTTTCAGAGCGCCGAAAAGAAAAGGACACAGCGGCAGAAAGCTGAAACATCCTGTCTTTGGTTTTGGACGTTTATAAGTCCGCTCCATCGCCGGGTCTTATTATTATACCCATCTGTTCAAACAAACCCTAATAGAGGCGACTCTTTCGCGGTGTTGAGAGCTAACACCAGCACTGTATGCTATTCGTTAGTGGCGGCTACCAGAGACAAGGCTACTTCATTGGGGTCTACTTGGCAACTATCGATCATCATGACCTCGAACCTGACCGGAAAAGACATATATCAAGGCCGAAGGAAAGAAATCGATATGGAACGCCAGCTACTCATAGAAACTTAACAGGGTTGATTTGGGATTATTATCAGTCCATACCACCCACCACCAGAGATATAACTAAGCAAAAAGAAACAACTTGGGATATCAAATTGAGACACATCCAGTCCATGACATTACAAATCACAAAAAAAGAAAAGGAAAAAGATCCAATAGAAGGATGTTATATAACAACATGAACCAGGAAAAACAAGATGGGTTCACATGTTCAGATGGGGGGAAAAATAGAAAAGAAGAACGGGGCGTCATTCTCATCATCAACATAGAGTCCTGCGACTAGTCATGTATGTATAAGAAGAACAAAGCGGGGAAAGAGAAGAGAGCGTGTGTTTCTTGCAAGTCCTTGTTGAGTCCTCGCCGAGTCAGAGCGCCATTAGCCGCGAGGCAGAGATCAAATATTTATATAGCAGGGATAGCGTCAATATTAGGGGGGGAAAGAAAACTCAAAAAAAAAGAAGAAATGAATATTTTCAAATCAACTGCTTGGAGCAGATGAAGGGTTGTCCTGAGCAATATATTCCGTGAGGGCAGGGTGTATCATGATTAATATGGCATTTTCATATCTTTCATGATATCTTTTCTTGATCAATTTTTGGACATTTCTCTTGACTGTCGTTTAATAATCATGTAGAAGGCGTCTTCGAAGTATCATGACAAGACCACCCAGCGGTCAACCAACAAGCCACGCGCATGCCACTAGGGCAAAAACATAGGGGCTGTAGGAGATTATGCATATAGAGGAATTTGTTGGAGGGGGGGTATGGAGGAGAAGAGACTTAATGTCGTCGACGGGCGGCCTGGTCCAAGCGGTGATCGTAGGATTCGATTCGAGCACGAAAGGACTTGACAATATCTCTGATGCGCGCGATCTTGGTGAATTCATTTTCCAGGTCATCAATAGAGGCGAGGATATTTTTGGTACGAGCAATCTCGGCATCTGCATCGCAGATGATGTTGCCCGCTCGGTCGTAGCTGTTGGCGATGGAGAGCTGCATTTGCTCCTCCAGCTGTAGACAGTCAGTCTGATCAGCGGTCGTTCATTCGGTATTGATCAAGAGAAGGGGGGAAAGAAAAGGTTATATACATAGTCGATGCGATTGCGGATCTGCTCTTGCAAATTGTCCAGCTGGTGAGAGAGCGCCCGCAGGCTCATGGGATCGAGCAGCAACCGGCCATGGCTGCTGGCTGCGCTGGCTGCGCGCGAGCTCGAGTTGCTGTTCCGCCCGGTGCCTCTTCCTCTGGACAAACCGTTGCCCGTCTGGCCCTGGAGCGCGATCTGCTGCTGCTGTCGTAGTATCTGGATCTCGGAGGAGGTGAGACCAAGCGAGGTGTCGGGGATCGAGGTTGATACGGACATTGGGGTCCGGTAGAGACATGCTCCTACCGCGACGAACGTCTAGGAAGCACCGGCCGATCTCAATGTAGGACAGAACGGACCGCAGTTCATGGTGCCGATAGACGCTGCGCGAAAAGGTAGAAGAGGAGGAGCGGCGGATGCGGGAGTCGGTGTGTGTCTGTGCCAGGAACGAGACCGGAGACAGCGCGGGCGAGGACGGATGGTCTCCGGGCGTCTCTTCACCCCGTTATGGAAGGTTTCCACGCTCCTGATCGACAGTCAATGGCCGTGGAGAGCGCTGAGCTTGGTACGAAGCCGTTGCGAGTAGCGGTCGAGGAACGGGGCTCGGGTGGCTCGTCGGCGGCAAAAGCAACACAAGTTCGGCGGCTCCTCGTGAGGCGGACTCGAGCGACACGGCTCGAGAGGATGATTTTACGACCGCAGACGCTCGGCGAGAGAGATAGACACCGATCAGACACCTGCTAGAGCCTAGGATCAGGCCCTGGGCAGTGCTTCAGGGATGGACAGACCGAACGGGAGCGGATGGCGGGAAAGAGGGGCAGCAAGAACCATCCACAACCTTGCCAGCTTCGCAAAAGGACAGTCGGCTGGGGAACAAAGACGGGGTCAAGCACGAGCAGGAGGAGGAGCGAGACGAGAGCAGGGAAAAAGAAAAAGAGAGCAGGGAGAAACTCAAGGGCAGATGACCCGCATGGCCAGGATAAGCCTTTGGGTTCTCCGGGCGCACACGCGCTGAGCATCCTTGTGTACCTCGCCTGGAGGGAGAGACCGAGTGCAGAGGAACTCCAACAGTGCGAATCTGGTGAGCTCCATCCAACGCTGCAGACTGATCGAGCCAATTGCTAATTGTGCCAGACGGGGCAGATCCGTGGATAAACGACGGACGATTTACATTGGAGTTGATTCGTTGCCCATCGTCATCGCATCTCCTCCCATCCCCAAACTCCCAGTCCGCAGCGGGCAGCTTGACGTGAATTTCCCCCCCCTACGCAGCATTCGGTGGAGGCATTCTCATCGCCCGTTTCACGGTTAATAATACCCAGAGCTTGTGTTCTACCAGCTTGTTGAGAGCAGGGCTGAGCCCGTCGACTGTCTGGTACTTTCTGCTGTCCTCTTGTCACTTTCCCCGCGAGGGCCTGTCTACCTAACGCGTGAGGCTACAACACTGCGAAGGAACGAGCACTTTTCATTGGTTTTCTCTGACCCTGGAAGCTGCAAATCTGCCTGTCTCGAATGCAGCTTATTGTGCGAACAGCCTGTGAGCATTCTCCGTCCCGCTGTGGCTGCAGGGTGTCGGGAGATTTTTTTTTTCTTCCTCTCTCCCTGCCTCCTTGCACCGATTTGCCATAGTTCTTGATTATTGGCTTCGTGGCTGACTCTTCTTCTGTTTCATCGCTTGCATAGACAAGAAACCCGTATTGATACTGCACCCTCGCTGCAAGTCTCCGCATTGATTTCTCCCCCGGTCGCGATCGAGCCCCAACCGCCACGATGCCCAAGGACAAGGACCGTGCGATGAACCCTGCCATGGCGCAGCGGAAGCTGGAAAAACAAAAGACCCTCAAGAAAGGAAAGGCCGAGGCTGTGGCCCGCCGCAATGAGAAGCTCGCGCGTCGCAACCCGGAGCGCATCCAGCGCCAGATCACCGATCTCAAAGCCGTCGAAGAATCAGGCCAGCCACTCCGCCCGCGTGACAAGCAGATCCTGGAAGCTCTCGAGCGCGACCTCCGCGCGGTGTTGAAGGCGCGAGAAGCATTAGGCGAGAAGGCACCCAAGTTTTCCTCTGGCGGCGGCGGCGGCGGCGACGGCGACGGGATCCTCGGTAAGAGGCGGCGAGAGGGCAATGACCGTCGCCACCAAAAACAGTACGACAGCGCAAGCAGCGACACAGACGAGAGCGTCCGGAGGATACCCATGCCGCGCGACACGCCGCCACCCATTCCGCGACAGCAACAACGACGAGGAAGGGGACCACAAAGGCAGCAGCAGGGAGAAGAAGGCCAGCGCGGCGAGCATGCCTTACCGGCACGACCTGCCGTGGAGGCCAAGACGGTATATGAAGCCGCGCCCGCGATCCGCAACCTCCGCCAGGAAGCCGTGAGCAAGTTCGTCCCTGCGGCAGTGCGCATGAAACAAGAGGCGATCCGCGGCCAGGGGAAACTGCTCGAGCCTGAGGAAATGGACCGCCTAGAACAGGCAGGGTACTCGGCTAGCACGGCGGCTGATCACGGACAACAAGTGACGGCGAGCCATGACGACGATAATGATGCGGATCACGAACAAAGACTACAGGAGGAGGAAAATCGATTCCATCGGGAGCTCCGGACGGTGCAGATCGAGGAAGTCGAGGATGAGGAGGCCTAGACGCCGCCCCAATCTACACCTCATATATTGTACATTACTTAAGACTCGAAATTACAACTTGCCTTTGGTCGAATAATCCAAGCATTGTCTACTTCTTGGGCCTTTTTGGGCGAATACTCAACTAATTAAGAGTCTATGGTGAAATCTCATCAAGATAGATTGTATGTCCAAGTCGGAAGCCTTGCTAATTGCACCATAAACACCAGATACCTGCCCCCAAAAAAAAGAAAGAAAACGCCATTGACAGAAACGGCAGACGGCACCGGTCAATTAAAAAGGGAAATCCATAATCGGTATTTCCAAGAGAGAGTAAGAAGGGCAAAAGAGAAAAAAAATTTGGCTTGAAATGGCGAGGAGAAGGTCAGAGACCATTTGCTATGAAGAGCACTGTACCACCAGAATGCCTGATGCGGGTGTAGGGAAGCGTGCAGTATGTCAAAAAGGGGATGAGAGGAGGCATTACGGCATGACAAAGGGAAATAGAGGAAAGATAAGTGAGCGAGGGTATGTGGTCCCATCTGAAGAGGGAAAAAGAGAAAAAAAAAAAAGGCTTAAAACACAGGTGGACGTAGCAAAAATGCATCAAGTTTCCATGGAGTCCACGGACAACTTTTTACTCCTGAAAATGCACATCCAGCCCTGGACTCCAGAAGAAAATGAGTCAAGGAAGATGAAAGGAAAGGGCGCCGGTCAACCTGAAGAGAAGAAATTTTCAAAAAGAAGAAAAATGGATGAACACCAGCAAAAATCGGTCCTAGATATCATGAATATTGGGACAATGAAAAAGGGAAGCGGCAGCAGAATGTTTAGTATGCTGTTCACCGGAGGTTGCGAATGACCTTCTTCCCACGGGCGAGGAAAGGACTTGGCATCTCATCTCGTTCTGGATCCCATACTGCGGGCGGCTCTCTCGCTGAAGCTTTCATTGCAGAGCTGGTTGAAGCACGAGAGTCGCTGGCGCAGCGTTTGAATTCATCCACGGGACGCCCACCGGCCCTTGCCTGCGCGAGCTCGACCAAGGTCCGACCACCCATATTCCGCTGCATAACGGCCTTGAACATCTCCTCTCCGCCGCCATTTGATTTCGATGAATGCTGCTTGCTGGCAGACTTGCGGGTTGGAGATCCAGCATCAGCGGCAAGGTTGGCCGAGGACGGTATTTTCGACAAACGGCGGTGCGGAGAGCGCTGCCTGGGCTCTCTAGACTCGCCGAGATTATGACGAGTCTCGCTAGATGTCGCCATGCCAGTGGACATTTGAGGAAGCCTCGAAGAATTTGAGGGGAAGAGCGGGGGCTGTGTGCTTAATTTCTGCATCATGGCGGCTGTGTTCTGACGAAGCAGAGGTCGGTGAGGAGCTTTGAACGGATCCGGTTTCACCTTCGGACGGGTTGGGGATGGCAGGTCAGGAGTGTCATCTTCATCATCGGAGTAAGCCAACGTTGGCTCCCATTTGGCTTTTTGCCGTTCAGCTTCGGCGAAGATATTTTTACCAGATGAAGTCCCCGACGTGCGGCGAGGAGATAACGAAAGAGAAGCAATAGAGATTGGGGAAGGCTCGGCCATCTGCACGTCTATAGGGGATTCGATCACGGTCTTTGAGCGTGTGAAGGGGGTACGAGTCTCTTTCTTTAAAGGCTTCATGTTCGATGTCGGGGATTCCAGTGACAGGTTGGTGATATCTGTTGCAGAGGAGAGATCGCTTTCTTCACTCGTGCTGGTTGACGATTGAGATCCATGTGCGCTGGTCCGGAATGCTGTATCCTCCCTAGTCTTCTTGAGTTTCTCCAACTCAGCTGCAACTTTGTCCTGAACCTCAGACTCGAATCGTTTACGCAACCTATCGAGTTCCATCTGGACTTGCCGGTCGATCTCGAGCCGAGCCTTGACTTCCCACTCTCGCCGCACGGTGCTTTCAATTTCGCTTCTCATCTGCTGCCTCTCCTTTTCAACCTTCGCAAATGCCTGCTCCATCTCCTTCATCTTTTGTATGGCGACCTCCTCACGCTTCCGGAGCGTTTTCCCGACATCTACAACCTCTCTCTCCTTGCGCATCAAGCGGATAATGGGAAGGTTGAGTAGGGTTGCGGTGTCTGGGCGGTGATCAGGGTTGACTCGTAGGCAGCTCGCAATGACATTCTTCAACTCTGGAGAGTAAACGTCTGGGAGCGGTGCAAACTTGCCCTCTCTGATTTTTTGGACAAGCTGGATGTGCGTCCTGGCATTGAACGGGGGTTCTCTCTGGCACAGCTCGTACATGATACAACCAACTGCCCAGATATCAGACTGGAGGGTGTATTTTTCCGCCGCACAGATTTCGGGAGACATGTAAAACGGGGTCCCGACGTAGGTCGAGGCGAAGTCATGGGAATGCATCAGCTTGGAAAGGCCGAAGTCGCCAAGCTTAACCGTGTTGTCGCCACCCAGGAAGATGTTTTCTGGCTTCAGGTCGCGGTGAAGAATCATGACCTGAGCCTGTTTCCCCTTAAGACCGGAGGGTTTTGGCGATGGCCCAAGAATATTTGATCCCACCTCTGGTGCATCAGCGCCATAATGGCAGCGGTACAGGGCAGTGGCCAGCTGTGATAGAATGCGCCACACAAAGTCCTCGTCTGCGTACTTGTTGGCCTTTTTCAGGTTCTTGATGACCATGCTCAGGTCACCCCCATCACAGTACTCCATATACAAGTATAAATCTTGACTCGCTTTCAGGTGCTCTCGATGGTAGTACGCCACGATGTTCGGGTGCCGGAGCGAGCTCAGGATGTTGAATTCGGCAGTGAGCTGTTCACGCTCCTTCTGCGACATCTTGATGTAATTGATTTCCTTGCGGCATAGAATCTACTCCCTGTCAGCTCATAATCCCGGGCTTCCAATTTGCTGGTCGATGTCCTTACAAATCCATCGGTTTTCCTCTTCACCTTCCGAATGATGCCAAAAGAACCACTCCCTTGATGCACCCTGTCAGCCATCCTACGTCACACAACATGAACAACAGCAGAGGAAGAGCTTACCAATCTTCTCCAGCACCTCATATTTGTCTGATTCCGCCAGTGCAATTGCCATGGTGGCGGTAGGCTGCGTCGTCGGAGCCACAAAGCGACCACACCGGACAGCGCTGGAGTATAGTGCTTTGGAGCTTAGTAGCGAAAGAAATAGGTCATCGACAGCCTCGCTGCTGTTCCGGAGAGAAGACAAGTCCTGCTGGGTTAGTAAAAGATGAAACGCACAGGTACATATAAGGTGGAATGCCCAGAATAAAGAGGTGCAACGCGGTCAAAGACACCAGATGTTTAGCCAGAGCACTGTTGCTAAGCAACGCCGTGCGGCATATCCGCTATCCTAGTTGCAGAAGGCGGTGAGCTGCTTAGCAGCAAATAGCTGTGGATATGCACCCACTGCATCAAGAAAATCAGACGATCGGACGAGCAGTACAGCACTCGGGTGAAGCCTTACATGTGGAAGACCTCTCCCGGCCTCGGAGAGGTCTCCCAGAAGCGACAATAAGCTCCGTTATCTGCTCGAACGATGGGGTTTTCTGTCTCGAGACTCGAGCAGCGTCTGTCCGTCCGTCATCCCTTCTACGGTTTCACGTGACCGTTATCGATAAGGAAACGGCGTCGGTCACTCTGTCCCGCATTTGGGGAGATTCGCCCCTCTCTTCGACGACAACAGAGGCGGTTTCTACGGCATTGCGACACGGAAGATGACGGAACCAAGGGTCCTCCGAAAGGACCAGTTGGAGGTCAGCCTGCATAATGAGAAAAAATTGATTAAAGAGGGCGCCATCAAGGATGACAACCCGCTTGATCTCAGCGACCCGTTTCGGGAACTGTGCAGCGCTTGTCGGAAAGGAGATTTAAAAGTCTGCCAGGAGAAGATCACCGAGGGTGTCAATATAAATGCTCGTGATCCTTTTGACTATACGCCCTTGATTCTGGTATGTTGCTTTTCTGCTTCACCGGGGGGGGGGTTCTATCGTATATATCCTCAGGAAACATGTTATCTCTCTCTCTCTACAGAGAGTGTGGCTGATGAGTTGTTCTGTGATTTCCAAAGGCCAGTCTATGTGGCCATTTTGAGGTTGTGCAGCTTCTCCTTGAGTCCGGTGCACTGTGTGAGCGAGACACTTTCCAGGGCGAAAGGTGCTGTTTTCTCTGATATATAAAATGACATACCTCCTGCACCTGCTAACTATTCCTGGTTGATTCAGATGTCTGTACAACGCTCTCAATGACCGTATACGAAACCTTCTTCTCGAGTACGACTATTCCAAATCTACAGACCCCCTTCAGCCTCTGGCGGCTCATGTCACGTCTTTGCTGACGCGGGAGCACCCTGTGACTTCCGACATTGTCGTGACTGCATCTGACGAGTCACTTTTTCTGCATAAATTCATACTCGCGGCAAGGTCTCCATATTTCAAGAAGAAGCTGGCTTCGTCACCTGATACATGGAAGCTGCCCAGCACTATCCCCCCCGAGGCCTTTGGTACTGCAATTAAGTATCTCTATTTTGGAGAAGCCCCTCGTGATTTAAGAAGCGGGCCAGGCACAGGATTTACCGAGTCAGAAGTCTTTGCGGGAATCGACAAGATCTCCAAGCACCTTGAGATCCACGGTCTTCTGGACAGTATTCTGGATAGCAGTGACCGGAGACTGGCTAGACAGCGACGAGCGGTGGAAGTTTCCAAGGGCCGAGACCAGCTCGAAGAATGGTTTCGCGACAATGTCATCCGCAATAAGATGGTGGTCGAGACGTCCAAAGCCGATGAGGTGAAGTGGGATCGCAATAATGCAATTTTTGCAGATGTCCTACTGAGGGCAGACGAGCTGCCCGAAGAACCAGAAGAGACGGAGGAGAATGTGGCCGCTAATGGTGTCAGGGAGAGATTGGAAAGTGGTTCTATTCCAATTGGACCCTCCTCGTCATCCACTGGAGAGGGTACAATGAAGATCTCTAAGCCCAAATCAACACTCTTCCCCTGCCATCGGGCCATGCTGTTGCGCTCCGAGTTCTTCCATGCCATGTTTTCATCGGCATTCCGCGAAGCCCATGTGAAAGAATATTTGAACATCATACCTGTCGACTGTTCGCCCGAGGTGTTAGAAATCGTCCTCACCTTCTTATACACCGAAAAGGTGGACTTTCCTCTGGACATCGCCGTGGACGTTCTCTTTGCGGCGGACATGCTGTTCATCGAGAAGCTGAAGACCAAGGCCGCCGTGGTTATCAGCACTCTAGGCAGCGGGGATATGTCGCAGGCGGAAGCTGCGCGGACCCGCGGCACAGACGAGGAGGAGGAACTCGACATCTACGCCATCATCCGGGCTGCGTGGCTGACCCGCGTGCAGCGGCTGGAGGAGTTCGGGGCGCGATACCTGGCGTACCGCCTCGAGTCGCACATCGACCTGCCCGAGTTTGCGGAACTGATCCAGCAATCGGCGGCACGGATTCAGGGCCGCCAAGAAACCGACACCATCGAACTGCTGGACGACATCCGCTTCTACCTCAGCGAGCGGTATCGTCTGCGCTTCGAGGACGCCGGGCTCGAAGAGATGCTGGAGGAGGGGCCAGAAGCGAACCTGGCGCCTGAAACAGTCGATCTGGGGTCTGAAGCAGTCGGCCAACTAGTCGATGGTATCGACGCCCTTGCAACGACCGACCCCGCACCAGTCATCCGGACTCTGGACGGCGAAATCGCCGGCGACGAGTTTGCGAGCGATGCCATCAACTACCAGATCCTGCTCAATAAGCTCGATGAGCTTTTGGAAGACCTCGACCTTGATGCCTAGATAGATAGAGTATATATATATATATTTGGGAGAGACGTAGCAAGAACGTAGCTACAAACAATATCATGGCAGCGTGATTATCTTCTATAGCGCACTCCGTACAATATTCTAGTATAGGACAAGTCATCTATAGATTGGCGTATATATTCGTGTACAAGTAGTAACTCCAAATCCAATCCAGCCCAATCCATTTCAACCTTGGACCCCCTAAACCATGATATAACCCCTAGACCAACTCCCGTCCGGTCCGTTTTAAGGATCACCACAAAAAAAAATAAGAATATATATAAGATACAAATGAAGAAATGAAAAAAAAAGGGTATCATAAAACGTAGACCAGACCAAGAAAAGAAAAAGAAAGATAAACAAATAAAATAAACCAAAAGGATTTGGTTTAGACGATCGCCTGGACAGGACGACCGGTATGGCAACCGCGTTCATGGCGCTTCATATTGCTGCGGACGCTGAAGGCTTTACCGCATCCTGCATGGGTACAGCGGAAGGGTTTCTCGCCCGTGTGGCTGTGTGAATGGATGCGCAGGCTGGAAGGGCGCGAGAAGGCCTTGTGGCATGTTCGGCAGATGTACCGATCATGGTTCTGCTGGTAGGGCGCTGTGTTGCTTGGGGGGAAGTAGTGGTGATGTTGCCAGGCTGGGGTCACGGGGGAGATAATCTGCTGCTGGTGGTGGTGGTGGTGTTGGCCTGTCGGGGAGGATGGAGAAGGGAGAGTGGACTGTGTGGTGGGTGTGGTGATGGCAGTAGCAGCCGCGGTAGTAGAAACAGCAACAGCAACACTCGGAGTAGGAGTAGACGCGGTAGCGGTGGTTGCTATCGTCGTCGCGATGGATGAGACGCTCGAGGCATGTGGTCGTTGGAAGTAGGTGCTCGAGCTGGGGGACGGTTCCACGGGTGACGAGTACGAAGCCACACTCGACGCTGGCGATGGGTACTGGGGCATTGCGGAGAGAGAATGACGAGCGGACGAGCCCTGGCTGGAAATCGAAGGGCGGTCCATTGTCGGGTTGGGGAGTAGCGAGTACGGCGGTGGTGGTTGTTGTTGCTGCTGCTGCTCGGTGGTCTTAACGGTGGTGGAAGGAGAGGGGTGATTGCTGCTGCTGAAACCCGATCCAGGGCGTAGCGGCGGAGTAGGCGGAAGATGCGCCGTTACTGGATCATACGACTGATAAGACCGGCGGGATTCGCTGTCAGGACTGTATCTTGGGCGTTCTTGTTACGTTAGCGAGAAGAAGAAGAAGAAGAAGAAGAAGAAGAAGAAGAAGAAGATGGAAAACGAAGTGGTCATCAAATTGGGACATACTGGCTGAATGAAAGGCGCTATCGGCCCCCTCGAGGAGAGTCGAGATAGAAGGCAACGAGCATTTAGGCTGGTCATCGACGGGAGGAGATAACGGCGGCTGCGGCGAGCGCACATACGAGGTGGTCGCGGCGGCGGCGGTCGTGAAGTAGGAGCTGGACGTGGTTGTGGGTAGAGGCGGCGTCTGGAGATCAAGATGACGAGGTTTGACCGGGTTAGGCCTGTGATTCGTGATCAAGCTGGCGAGGTCCATGGTGAGTATGTAGTAGTAGGTAGTAGTAGGTAGGTAGGTAGGTTGGTAGACTTGGGAGAGTAGTAGTAGTAGTAGTAGTAGTAGTAGTAGTAGTAGTAATATAATAGATGTGGCGAGTGGGGGCGGCAAGATGATACCTGGAGACGGACAAAGGAGAGAACCAAAGGGAAACAGACTCCAGCGAGGGAAGAGGCTGTAATAACTACTACTCAAGAGAGTCAACTAAACCGTGATATTCCTCCCATTGGAATACACTGGAGGATGACCTTCCGGGTCTTGTCTAGCTTGATCCACCCGGGGGGGGGGGTTCGATCGGCCTTGCGAGCAGGAAGGAAGGAATGGAAAATCTAATTAAATTGATTGATTGATTAATTACCTTACCATATGGCGGGTTTACAATACGACCCCGTTCCAAAGCTTAATTATTAAATTAAAACGCCGTGTACGTCGCCTGAAAAGGATGTGCAGCGGATCGTTTGGGGGCTAGCCTTTTCCAACGTGGCGGTTGCGAGTACTTAGTAGGTGTACCTTAGGTACCTAAGGTACCTAAGGTACTGTATGTAATTTGAGAACGTGCCACGTCTAGCGGTATGTATCAGGGCCCCACGGTGAGCGAGAGTGGGCTGAGACCTGACAGATCCTTCGTCCGGTCTACCAATCGTCATGCAGGTCGTCTCGGAGCTCGGCTAAGTGTCTGTCGCTAGTGCAGATCCATCCGTAAGATTGAGAGCGAAACGAGACTCGTACGTACATACGGAGGTACCGGTCTTGCGCCCCATAAACGGCTGATCGTTGCCGCACGATCATGCGTTGTCGAGAACCTGATCTCATCTCCTATGTAGATCCTCGCTTGGGAGTCTCCTATTATGCTGCTGTATTTTTTTCTTTTTCTTTTTTTTTAAGAAAAGAAAAGAAAAAAAAGAAAGAAAGAAAGAAAGAAAGAAAGAAAGATACCGTATATTCTCTATACTTTGATCACACCAGCTGATAGATGCTCTTCCTAGGTAAAATATACCTAGGTGCTCTGTAGGATTCATTCTCACGAGTCCAACTGCTTACTCTCCCTGATCAAGGGAAGGCGGACGCACATATCCCCCACCTTCCCACTTGAACTGTCCGAGCCCCATTTTTTTCCATGTGGATGTGGGGACTGGCTGAAGGAACACAAGATATAATACGACCATACCAAGGGAAACAAAAAATCAGAGCATGGCATACAGAGTAAGTAGAGAACAGAGGTATATAAATAAAATAGTATAATCACAATATCTATATTTGAGGTACCTAAGACTTGTGGTGTAAATTTCTGTACTGCATCGTACTGGCTGTACTCCAAACTCCGGCTCCGTACTATTTATTAACATCGCCCAAGTCCTCGGGGGTGGATGACGGAGACGAGCCCAGATCCGGTTAGCGGCAGAACGCCAGGAAAGGCATCTATGAACGATATCCCTTGCCGTTGCATGAAGTACGGAGTACACTCTACCTCTGACTACATAATAATAGATAGTAAAATATCCTGAATATACTGTGTTGTATAGTTAGTTATTGCTCACAATTAGTAGGTACATCTATGTAGTATGTCTGTCTCCTCTGTAAATACTACATATAAGGTAGTAACTACGGACTCTCGGCTACTGATCAAACGGGAAGGCGGAGCCGGATCTACTTTTGACCCAAAGCATCACGGCTACATACTACATAGTACACGGCGACACGCCGCACCGGCCAACGTGACACGGCCTTGCAATTGTGCATGGCATTCCAGCTTAAGTGATCGCCCATGCATCATTTCCGAGGCTTGCCATCCATCCCCCTCCCCGTACGGAGTACCCAATATTGAGATTGATATGAAACATTTAGAGTTCGAGCCTGCGTGTTCACTTCACCCAACGGACACACTACTCCTGGCGCTTACGGAGTATATTCCGTATTTAACTCTTATTATTATTATTTCTCATTATTTTTCTCATTATTTTACGGAGTACTCAATACTCTAGCTGTAAGATCCTCAAACGCTGGACCGTCCTATGCCACGCGGGTGCCATGTGAGCCGCTGAGCACGGGGCATATATGAGGCAATCACTGCATGGACAGTCTCCAATTCTATATCACCACTGTAGTATAGTATTACAAAGTGATATCTATAATATACTATTATACTCCGTACATCAGAATAGACTTGGTCCAGTGCAATGTAAATCATGCAGATCAATTACTTGCCTCACAACTTAAAGAATATTAATACTATGACTATACTGTAGTATACTGTAGTATACTGTAGTAGAGTACTCTACTACATAGAATAAATGAATAGTATATGTACTCCGTATACTCTGTATACTCCGTACTCCGTATGGAGACTTCCATTTCTTTCCACCGCTCATGATCCACCGCAGCCAGGATCAGCGCGTGGATCGAAACGCCAGCTGGGGTCTGTGGATCAAATACTAGTACGAGTACGGAGTAAGTACCTAGGTAACTATTCCGTCATAAAAGTAATAACGGACTGTAGTATAGTAGTAGTAGTATGGAGTACTCCGTAACTACTACATATTAATAAGTAGGTAGGTACTCTAGTGATATTCATTAATGATATCTAAAGTAGGTAGGTGGATGATCCGCCGGTGTGGTTCTTTCCAGAACCCGAACCCGAACCCAAACAAATCATGAACCGCCTCCTTTGTCCGGGGCGTTGTTATAGTTACTAAGATACGGTTCCAGGGTTGATCTATGTTAGTAATGGTCCCAATGATCACCATCACATGTCACGGAGGTCCGTCGGACGGACTGACTCGACGCGAGGTCCCATACTTCCGAGTCCATTCCTTCATGAGTCCAGACGTATACTACATACATTACTCTACCATAGTTGAAGTGGGAGAGCTTAAATTGTGGACTGTGGAGTTCCAAGTATTCAGCGATTACTTGTTAAGGTAGCTAAGGATTCTTTCCAAAGCTAGAGTTAAAGGATTGATCTACACGGAACCTCCGTCCGGATGAGTAAGCAGGACGAGTACCTAGGTAGGTCTACATATTAAGGTGCTCTGTAAGGTAGGTACCTAGGTACTCTGTAAGGTACTCTGACAGTGTATAACTATAACTAGTTATACTATAACTAGTCACTATAACCTACAGATGAGTCAGTCGATCGTTCATACAAGCTACCGGAAGCGTACGTAAGAAAGGCGGTCTTCAGGACGGCAGTCGTCAGCTGGAGCCTTCGTACGGACCAAGTCCATCCCAAAGAAAGGTTTAACCCCTGGAGCGGGATTTTACCATACAGGTATGTATGTACCGTATACTTTAGTACTCGGGATTCGGTACCGTAATCTGAGCCCGTTGATCAGCAGCCGTCCAAGCGTTTGAGTTCCAGCTAGACTGGAGATGGTCTAGCGGCCCTTCTGGACCCTAGCCATTTCACGTGGCTTTTTATTTATTTTTGTGTCTGTGTGTGTGTGTGTGTGTGTGTGTTTTTTTTTTTTCTTTTTTTTTTTTACTAGCATTTCCTGACCGTCGGCTCCGACGGGCTGTCACTTGCCGCTTAACCCTGTTTGGCACTAAAGCCGATGCGGCGTGACCAGAGAAAAAAAAAATATAAATATAAATAAAATCATCCACTTATGATTGATCGGGATGCGATGTAGATCATAACAGTAGAACAGGTAGTACAAACCCCTTAACTAGTACGGAGTACGGAGTACGAAGTCCTACGTACATTAGTAGTTTGGGTACGGAGTAGTTACGCCGTCGACTTGAATAGAGGGTTACTAACGACTAGCTAACCTAGTGATCCTTAGGGATGGTCGCTTTGCACATGGCTGCGCTGGAAAACCTTATTCACGGAGCATACGTGTCACTCCATGCCAGAGTATGTCCAAAGTATATAACTACCAAAAAGTTGATAGGGGTGTGAAGATAGTACACAATAAAAAGCAACTGTACTAGTAGTATTTACCATAATCACTCACTCATATTAGATATACAGAGTACAATAATAATATACTGTAGAATCTACCTAACTATATATGTCCTTTACACCAGATCCACTCCTGCAAGCGAGTCCATCCACCAGCCTCGTGGGAGTCGACGGAGTATTCGGTGGGCCTTGATCTGTGAATCCTGGATCTAGACAATGCCATTTTCTGTGTAGTATTTTTTTTTCCACATGGCCTTAGAGGTCCCTAGTTATGACCGGGTTATCCCGTGGTTAGTAGGATGTAGTAGTACTAATACGACTAATCATCAACTAACTGAGCTTGAGCGTTGATCGACGTCCCCTGGCCGTGATCCTGGACCTACTCTAGTCTGTACTATGTATGTATGTACTAACTAACTATGTAACTAACTATGTAGTATGTACTATTTTAGTGGCTATCTTCGGCTCCGATGCGGATCACGGTGCCGCGATGCGACTGTAACATTATTATTATGCAAGCATGAGCCTGAGTTTAGAATACCTAGGTAGCCTAGTGTTTAATAACTTGTTCTGATTAGTTATATGTAGTAAGAAGAATGTAGCAATGTAGAATATCTAGCTATAAATAGTATAGTATAGAAGTATAGCCAGTATACTCTATACTCCGTACCATCTGCCCATAGTTATCACATAGTTAGTACACAACTACTCCTGACTCAGCCTGACATGGTCGATCCATGGCCCATATTAAGGTTTGCACTATGCCCATATAGGACTAGCACTATAAGTGATAGCTTCGGCAGTTCTGGAAGTGAACGCAGTATTAGTCAGTATTAGTAAGGATTCAGGAGCCTCAATGGTGATCAACATAGTAGTTATGTCATAATGTCATGGTGATAAAAGAATGATTCTATTCTTTACTAGAGCTGATAGTCAAGTCTTACTACCTAGGTAAATACCTACCCAGGTACCCCATACGTAATTAGTCCTAGGTAAGCGCTTATAATGTCCTGTGCGTGTATTGAAAAGTACCGAGTCAACAGACTACAATACTAACTACCTAGCTACTACAGTATATCAACATGAGAGCAGAGAATCCGAGTGGTATCATATTGTTATTACAGGAACTTACCTTAGAACTACCAAGTGCCTTACCTAGGTAGGTACCTAGTAGGTAACTACCTAGTAGTAAGCAAGTGTACACTGTATCGGTAATACCGGTGAGTGATCCAGAATATAGACTCGGTCTCCTGTAAGAAATGCCATATCACCTGCACTATAGACCAGATACTGGCGAGTCACCTGCAGTATGCATGGGCCATTTTGCAACATCACACGGTACGGCGTACGATTAGAATATGGTATGATATCATGAGTATCTAGTCAAGGGTACGGAGTACGGAGTACTCCATACTAGATATTAGATAGGACAAGATATACTAGTTAGTTATTAATATATCGATATGAAGTGGTATACAAGAAATTGATATTTCTGTATAACAGAAAGTACTGTTTTTATATCATCTCTAATACTGTGGCGGGCTGATCGACAATGCAAAGCTGGCAGCCTGATCTATCTATCTGCGGTGATCGGGCAGATCACCTGCAGTAAAGGTACAGTAGTAACAGTAACTACTCTGCAGACTTCATACCCAATATTGCTTACTCCAGACAGAATAATCCATGAGATCTTACCACCGTCATCAGGTGTAGGCAGCAAACAACAAAGTAAAACTGGATCCTCCACAACCGAACAAGGATTCTAAGCACAAAACCATGGAAAAGAATTTACTCGCCTCGTGTTCTTCCCTGCAGGAATAAATTACCCCGCGCTGAATGGGCAAGCTGTGAAGGGAGGGGGCGCGTTCGTTTTGTTCTCGCTGAATATCGCGCCAATGATGCTCGTTCTTCCCTCCCCCCCCCCCCCGCAACCACGGCGTCGATCAAGGCAAACTTAGCAACAAGAAAAAACACCACTGGAGAATGTAGAATACCAATCTGACAAGAGCAATCGTACTCGTATTGTTGATTCTCGCCCTGATAGAGTTCCACAACGTTTCTCCCGCTCGTCTCGCTCCATTGGTGCAGAAAACTCCCGACGGTGATCGGCGGACCGTCATTTATAATACCTAGTTATCTCTAGGTACGGCATGAGTACGGAGGAGTATACTCCTCCGTACTGGCGGGAAACTGGGAAGTGTGTATAGTGTCATCATAATAGGAGAAACTATCCAACTATCCAACTATCCATACACACCAACGGCCTTTGCTCGCACCACCTCTGACATTCGTCGGAGCGCACTCCCGAAATCGACCAGCGCGTAGTCTCGCGGCATATGCTCTCCACTGACGATGCACAGCACCCGCATCCCCCGCTCGTACTTGAGCCCGCTCAACAGTTTGGGCGTGATCAGGAAGTACTGGCCGCCGCCACCCCCGCCGATCTGCTCGCCTCCGTCGCCTCCTCCATCGCCTCCGTTGCTGCCCGTCGCGCAGGCAATGTCCACCAGCCGGCCGTGGACCATGCGCTCGTTGCGCGGATCCATCCCTTGGTTGATCTCATCGACCACTCGGAACGGCGACGCAGAGAGCGACTGCAGGGCCATCAGGTAGAAGATCGTACTCACAGCTCGCTCGCCACCTGACTGCCGGTGTGCATCCAGCAGCGACAGGCTTTCGTGCTCCCGGAACTTGACGTGGATCTGGATCGACCACTGGCCAAAGTCGCTGGGCCCCGCTTGCCCGTCCGGCCCTGTCTCGTCCTCTACCTTGTCCAGCGAGACCTGCCCGGCGCACCCGATGCGTGCAAACGAGTCGGAGAACGCATCGCTGATCTTCTGGATCAGTGCGTCCAGCTTCGGCTCCCACCGCCCGCGCACCTCCTCGATTGCCCGCTCGTAGTCGGACAGCTGGGCCTCGTAGCCCTCCAGCTTGGCCTTCAGCCGTTCGATCTGCCGCTCCCGATCCTCGAATTCCTTGAGGATGTTGCTGCTGCCGCCATGTGTCAGTTCTAGGCGCGCCCTCTCCGAATCGATGTCGGCATCCAGCTGCTCCATACTGCCGACTTCGGCCAGCCCTTGCACCAGCTCTTTCAAATCCGGCTCGCGATTAGCTGTCTCGATGACCTTTTTGGCCTCTCGCTCGATCGCTTTGGCGCGCTCTGCTACCTCCCGAATTTGAACCACAGCTTCGGTAAGCTCTCTCTGCTTGGCGTCAAGTGCCTCTTTATACTGCATATTCCTTTCCCGCAAGACTTCGTAATCTGAAAGCGCCTCGATGTGTTGAATCTCGATCGCCATCAGCTGCTCATGCGCTTGTCTCAGGCCCTCGACCAGTTTCTGTACATGTCAGTGCCCTGACCCTGTAGACTCGCAGAAATTGAAATACATACGGCATATTTGATGGTTGCCTCGGCCTTACGGATCGAGGCCTCATCCTGCTGGTTGCGGATATTTACGACCCTCTCCTTGATTCCTGCAAAGATAACATCGAGGTCTCGTTGTTTGGCTTCCTGTTGACCTGGTTTTTTTTTACTGTTCAGTTTTGAATACCCTGAAACCAAGATCTAGGATAAACTTACGAATCATCTCAGGGATTGCCTGAAATTGCACCCGAGCAGTTTGCTTCGCGTTTTTCTCCGACTCCAGAGTATTCTGAATATCACTGATTAGTCAAAGCTCCCCCATGAGTACTGTTGCTGGACACATACCAATTCTTGTTCGAGCATCTCACGGCGTTGGGTCAAGGGCCCCAATCGGCTTCTCTCCGACTCGATTCTCTCTTGGAGCTCTTTCGCCTCTTCAGTGAATATATGGATCTGCTGCTCCAATTCTCGTTTCGCTGAAACGTCAACTGGTTGGGTAGTCCACATTCGCGCCTGTCTGACTTGCCTGACCCGGGTAGATTTCGCATTCGGGCCATATTCTGATCGCCGAATGATTTGATAGCTTTGTTTCCCGGAAACCCATGAGCCCAGGTTAGACCGTTCCACTGCATTGAACTCTTCCTCGGAGATATCCCGAAGGCCGATTGGTGTCTGATGCAACCTGTTTTCACCACAGAGCATAGACACGACGGGTTCGGGACCGGAGATGTAATCTCTCGCCCAGCCATCGAATCCAAGCTGCATGATTTCTTCGTCCGAGAGAGGAGACCTCATGCTGGCAAGAGGAACAGAACAAGTCCGGATGGCAACATCGGACACCTTCAGAATCTCAGTGTATGCTTTTTGCAAAGTCCTGAAATCATTCCTAGTCTGTGTCGTGAATGTCATGTAGTCGGTCCGTTGTAGTAGGGCCTCGATCGCATTGGTATATTTTGGATCCTTGATCGAGCATGTCACAACGGGTGGGCCGAAAACCTCCTTTTCAAACCGATTTTGATTCTTCTGGAGCCACTTGTAGACCTTGTGTGAGTCCTGTGAAAGCCGTGCCAATCTCGCCTCTACTTGTCCACTCTGCGAATCAAGATTGCGCAATTGCTGTTCTGCACTGCTGAGACCCCGTTTCTTTTCCTCGAGCTGAGAGAAGAGTGGCCGTCGTTCCTCTTTGATTTCTCTTTCTTTCAACTCGATTTCTCTGATTTCTTTCCGTCTTTCTCTCTGGGGGTTTGGTTAGCAAGATGGGTTTCGCTCCCGATGGACCAAATATTCTTTCAGACTTACAATTTGCTCATTGTAGTAAACGGGATCAAAGTCAACGGGTTCCTCGTTCAGTTGTCGTCTGAGCCGGCTAATCGTCTGCTTCACTTTCATGCGATCGTGTCGAGAGCTCATGGCACCCTTCTTCTCCGCGTCGATCTGGCTAGTTAAGTCTTTTATCGCATCTTCGTGCCGTTCGATTTCCTTTCCTGCGTCAATAGCAGTAGTATCGGCCCTTTCGACTTGTTGCCGCTGATATTTCTTGACCTCGTCCAGCCGAGCAGCGTACTCTTGCTTCAAGTTGACACCTCGCAGCATGGGTTCGAGTTCGTCTTTCATCGCCTGATGCTCTCGACTAAGATCATCTTTGCGCCGTTTGAGAGCAACATGCTCGGCATGGATTAGTTTGTACTGAATGATGGGTCGAGCAGTCTCCAGCATCGCAATCTTGCGCTGAATCTTTTTTCGTTGGCGCATGCGTTCCACATCGGCCCTTTGCATTTCCTGCCGGTTTTCAAGGTTGGCGAGTACATCTCGATTATTTTGATTCTCGGTCTGCATTGCTTTCTGCTTCGCACGTAGTGCTTTCAGGTTTTCATGCCACTCAACCATTTCGGCACCACCTGCAGCTCTCTGGGTGGAGCGGAGCAGCTCAACCGGAGTAAGAGCGGCAAACTCGCTGACCTTATCCTGAGGCAGAAACTGGCAGAGATTGTCGACCTGAATGGAAAACGACTCGGCGAGCTTGAGCACTTGCTTATTTGAAGCTGCCTGGCCGTTCAATGTAAATGTGCTCTTGTTACCTTCACGCTTGATCGTCCGAGTGATCACAGGGTTGCGGCGATGTCCCGGCCCACCTGCGAGTTCGATCTCGATGACCGCTTCTCTGCATCCGTGCTTCACAAACTCGCCAGTGTCCTTTGCGCGTCCTAGATGCTACTCAGCCAGATGATCATTAGCAACTGTGGGGCTTTCCTTTTATGGTTCTAGATGTAAGAAGACTTCTCTGTCCGTACCTGAGGGCCCCATCCCAAGCCTAGACATATCGCACACACAAGGGTACTCTTTCCTGTTCCATTCGGCCCGATTACCATGTTTAATTTCGGTCCGGGAAAGAACTCTGCAGAGGTGTAGGTTACAAAGTCTGTGAGTTTGACGCGCATAATTGCGCCCGGTTTGTAGCCGTCCTTGGTATATCCATCCGGACGACTGCTAGAAGGCTTTCGAGACGATTCACTTCGCTGTGCTGTGTCTTTATCGCGTGCTTGCGTAGAGGGCTCCGCCCCGCCACCATCCTCCGTATTGCTTCCAGTCTCAGATCCTTGATCATCTTCCTCTTCCTCCTCTTCTTCTTCCTCCTCCTCCTCCTCTACCTCCTCAGATTCACTCGCAGCCTCTAGGCGACGTCGTTTGCTTTCATGTGAAGCTTGTGAGCCCGGCGTCTCTTGATGCGAGGGATTTGATCGCGTCTCTTCATCTTCTTCTGAGTCGTCGCGAGCGCGTCGCTGCGGCACCGTTCGCGCAGAAGGCATTTTCGAGTGAGATTTTGCGAGACCTGACGGACGGCTTTCTCAGCCGCGCGCGCAGCCGCCCTAAATAAGCGTCGCAGAGTTCTTTCTTTGACAAGAGCCTGAAAGACCCAGAACAAAGAAAGACGTGGATGACGCGACGCGGAGAGATCAATACCGCTGTTTGGGGTAGGCGGTAACAAGAGGCAGTATTTGTATATTTGGGGCTTTCGGCCAGCTTCTCCGGAGCAAGCACTGAATGAATCCTGATATTACGCCCAGTCTCAGATATCGATATCTCATCTTTCTATCCATCTGTGACACGGTTTCCAATATTGACGCAGAATGCCCTCTCCACAGACAGTCAGACGGCTCATTTTGACCGGAGCTGTAACCTCAATCACTATCGCAGGAACTCTTTACGGCGCAGGATTGAAGACAAACACCGAAGTTGCACAGGTACGCTTTACCTGCTGGACGATGAGATAAATCCAATATTTGCCGAATTGGGCTAGGCCAGTTGATTGCGTGGAAGACTCTTCATTGACATATTTTTAAAACCCAGACAACCCAGAAACGCCGTGAAGCAACGATAGAGTCGAAACTGGAGGTTCTCCGAGAGACGCGGACTACTCTGGTCTCTAAGAAGGACATGGTTGAGAAACAATTACGAGACCTCGAGGCTAGGATCGAAGACAGGAAACGCAAGGGAGTCGATGCTGCGAGCAAGGAACGGCCGCATGAAGGCTGAGAATTGATCCCGGACTATATGATGAGAATAAGCCATATTGTCGACCATCCGATCATTTCTACCAATGTTGTACTCCTTCGCAGATTGCCGGGTCATAATTGACACTCCAACTCTATTCCATCTCGGCATCACGGTTTTCAAAGGGTGTTTCATTGGAGAACTTGCCCCTGAAACCACTATCATCTGCAGTGCCGAGTTGAAAAGCCGAGCTGGTACCGTGACAATTGAGAAGGGTTTTCAGATACAGCGAGCTGACAGCTATATATTGTCAATGTGTAGCTGTTTGACCTGGCCAGGTGAATTCGGGGCTCGGTCGCTTTAAAATAGGTGGAACTATCATGAGCGGCACCTGCTGTGACCGAGGGGCTATATACAAATCGAGGACTTCAGCTACTCCTTCGCGACTGGATCAAAAGACATATGGGTCTAAATGATTCTCAGGTTCCTTCCTGGTACGGGCTGGAGAATTGGAGGTCTCAAATCGATAATTGAAGGCTTCATTGAATCATTTAATTGTCGGTCTACGGAGATAACTGTATGTATTGGACACTTTTCTTTTAGCAAAGCAAAAGAAGGGTATATTATGATTTGTTCTCGTTGCTCATCAAGCTAGTCAAAAGAGTAAAAAGGATTATATATAGCATGTATTGCCAGCCAACTTGGTACCTCTCTTGCACAACCAACGAGTACAAAAAAGGAGATCTCATCGGGAGATTACTTGCGAGCTGCAATTGTATATCGCGTTCATATTTCAATCATCCAAGACACCTTGGGCAAGAGCCGCGATGCTCGCTTCGTACCTGGCTGGGTTGTGATCGCTCAACATCCCCGAGCCAAATCTGAGCTCCCCAAACCAAGTTTCAACATCCCTTATGAACTTGAGTTGTGCTCGTGTCGCAGGTCGTCCTAGTCGAGGGTAGTTGTCACTGCTCGCGTTGGATGTGAAGGCATCACGTTGTAAGACACGCATTGTGTCAACCACGAATACTTCACCGGGAGGTACAAGCTTCGGTGCACGCATGTCATCTCGAAGGAGTGTAAGAGCTTTCCAAGCCCAAGTGTCTTCTCCAATACCGTCACCCGCATGCACTAGGACAGGCGTCTGATTGACGTAAAACTTGTTGACGATACTCTGTCGTAATGCCTCCCAAGCTCGATGGCGCACATGAGACCGGGCACCTGAAATATCGCTCTTGAAGGCCAAGGAGGCAGTATGCATGTCGTGCAAGATACCTAGAGAAAGACTTGGGACAACATCCTGTCCGTTGACAATGGTGGTTACTAAACCACGTGTCACACGCCGGAGAAAAGGAGACATGGCGGCAGGAGGTCCGTATGCATAGACGTGGATAGGACGGCCAGAAGGGAGGAAGTAATGAACATTTTGTGTATGCAGGCCATCACTTCTTGTTGACGATTGCGGAGAATGCGATTGCGATCTGAAAGATGCAGTGACGAATGACGGGCCCGTTGCTTCCGTACTAGGCTCTGATATCATAGTTGCGAGGAGTGCAGCGACACCACCACCAAGCGAATGACCACATAATATGACTCCATAATCTGTAAATTCCTCCAACGCAGCCCTGAGGGTCACCATGACCCTCCCTCCGCCGCCCTCCAAGAGGCGTCGGGCGGAAGCATGCATCCCCTTGTGCACCTTCCAATTCTTCCCCTGCCATTCAAGGTCATCATAGTCGCAAGTCATATCTGTCAGAACGTCCTCAAAGCCCCAGGTACCTCGTAAGGTCAGAACAATGGCTTTGGATTGATGATCTATGCAGAGATAGTGGACCAATGGGAATCCCGAGTCAGTCTCTCCTGCAGCGTTACTACCCCCAGCAGGATCAACATAAGAAGAGAGGAGGATAGTCGATGGTGGAAGTCCTGCGTGATCTGAAAATTCACTGTGCCCATATGTATCTGGATCCTCAAATCGCAGCGTTTTCTCGGTTTGACGGATGCCCATGACCTTCAAGGCATTGGAGCCATATGAAGCTGATGAGAACCTGCAGAACCGACGGATGTTCTGTACGAAATGCTGTTCAGGAAAGATCCCAGGTATGAGACCATTGCGATTCAGTGCCTGGATAGTTGCAATATCCTCGTATGCACTTTTACGTGGGCGTTGCGCGAGTATGAGGGATGTTTCGGACCCCCCTGTGGCAACAGAATAGATGCTTGGTGAGAATAAGGTGGAATGGTGGTTCAGTAACGAGGAGTTAGAGCGTCTGCAACCATCGAGAGATATGTTTCCATCAGCTTCAGACGTTGTGACCGACATGGAACTGCTGCTGCGGTGGGTTCTGGTAGCCGACGGAGATCCCGGACGCATATCCGCTGACCGAAAAGAATAGGAATCTGTTTGTGAAATATAAGATTCACTGTTTCTTTCGTGGATTGAGAATCTTCCTGAACTAGATTTTGGACGCGAGCTACTACTTTTTGAGGGAGTCAAATGGATCGCTGGTGCCGAAGATGCATGTAAAGGCGAGCGCTTTGCAGCTGGAGACGAAGCACCTTCATTCAGGCACTGTGCCGATTCACTTCGCTTTGCCTTTGAATTAGGTTTGGTAGTCGGTCTCCGCGACACAGCTTGCCCTTCGGATGCAGGTGCCCTGGGTGACTTGCCAGAGCTGATGGGACTCCCAGTCGACGAAGAAATCACGGGCTTAACCGATGGCCTCTTGGGAGAGGGCTTCTTCCCCGTCTCGCTTCTGTCCGTATTGCCAGGTTTCACCTTATGAGCAACCTTCACAGGAAGTCCTTTTCCGAATGGACTCTTAGTTGCTTCCGGACCGCCTTGGTCCACTTTGGAAAGCCTTCCCCTAATGCCAACAGAGGTTGCGGCATTCCCTGGCTGGTCCTCGAAATCCAAACCACCAGTGGCAAAGCCGGCACTCTCCACTTCAGGCCTTACTTCTGCGCTTTGTAGCTTGTTAAATGCAGTTCTGAACACGATGCTGTGTTTTGGGAGGAAAGGTCGAGGCTCCAGGATGGCATTATTTGCATTATCTTGATCATGATGGAACCGTTCCTCGATCATCATGGTGCCAGGCGGTGCGACGATCTCAGCCGTGTCATCATCAAAAATATCAACCGTGATAGTGCGAGCAGTAACAAGCTCAGTGGTGATCGAGGCATGGCAGCCTGCTGGGAGCTGTTTTAGGATATAAGAACGAATTTCTTCCTCTGAAATTTGATGTTGACGTTCCGGCGGCAGTGTCAGATGAGGAGCGAGCGAAGGGTCAGTTGCAACTGTTGCTCCACGTTCCACTGCATCGAATGCTTCTTCATCGTCTCCCGGCGAAATGAATGAGGTCGCACGTTTGAGTTCGTTCCTTCCGATCTCGTCAGAGCCTTTGGAATGATCTGTGTGATAAGCACCAACAACATCGGCTCTTACGCCGTTATCAAGAATGACTACATCCCAGACTGTCTCATGCCCGCCGTTCTTCTGCATGAGTTGCTCTGTGTTTTTCCTGCCCCAGCGTTGCAGCATGGCGAATCCGACTGTGCCAACAAGGAGGTCCCCAACGCCAACATTTTCTGCATTATCACCAATATTAGAAGCTCGGAATTCTCTTCGAATGAGGGTTATAATGGCTGCAATGGCCCTAGAAGACTCGGTTGAGCCTAGGATAGCATCTAGAGTTGATAGAAGAACCTGGGACAGGTGAGAAGCGGATGACAGCGTGGTTGACGAAAAATTAAAGGTCGCAGCAGCAACGAATGATGCAGAGTTGACGGTTGTATGCAACACTGCCAACTAGAAAAGAGGTCAGAGTTTATTGACCGTGGCAAGACGAACGCAACACAGTGAAAACATACACTTCGTTCGAGGAGTGTCTCTGCTTCAAGCCGCCCATCTTCACCAGTATTCCGTAGGGCAACATCACGTCCCGCTCGCGTTAGAATTCCCTCGATGACCGCTCTGCTGAGCTCTAAGCCAGTGAGCGTGGTGACTTTTGCGCTGTTGATGGCCACACCGCCGAAAAAAGACCAGACACGAAGCGACAAGGAAGTCGACTGCGTCACAAACGAGACGAGAGAAGCCACCGGTCGGGGAAGCAACGTCGTGCCGGGGCTTGCAGGCCCATCGCCACTCGTTCGATCAACCTGGATCATCGCACTTTCCTTGCAGCCAGGCTTAAGGCCGCCTGCGGCACCGGCATCGATCTGGCTGCTGATCCCATATCTAGGCATGCCGAGACATTAGGCGATCGAGAACACAGGTGAAAGTGCCAGAAACAAGACTGTACGCAGTCAATGTAGGATTTCGATCTTTCCAGAGAGCGTAGAATCACGGAGCAGATACGAGACGAAAATGGTCATCTGCGGCACGTCCCCGACCGAGCAGAATCAAGGTCAGTGCAATAGGTCAAGTGAATGCAAATCATCGGCTCTTCTGCTTCATATCAAAAGTGTCAATTCTTGACGGCGGAGGGTTTAGGCAGCTCCGACATGTGATACCCCGGTCGATAACTAATAGATAGTTACTAGGTATCCATGGCTTCCCAACAAAATCAGTGCACTCACTAGTAGCGGCTATAAGTAAAACCTGCTAGACCAATCCTATCATTTGTAATTATCGAACTCGATATTATTTGTGTCTATAGTTCTCTTCGAAAGAAATATCTAATGATCAAATAGTGATTATTATAGATTTACTACTAGTATCGGTTAATGGATATAGAAATTCAGGGGCGCTTCTCGACACCGCTGCATTCCCCTTGCTTTTCCAAAAAAGGTTTAGTATTGTCACATGATTACAAGTCATCAAGTCTCAAGAATTCAAGACTCAAAAGCCAGTCGTTCAGGTAGCATCAACATCGTCTTTACCTCAATACCATCCCTAGAGATCGAGTCATGCGACTATATACTTTAGTTCTTGCTGCCCAAGCTCTTTGGCCGTGAGAAGGAGTCTAATTCCCAAGCCAAGCTCACCCAAACTGGCTCGAAAGAGGACACTATGGGTAACCAAATAAAACAGCCTTTCAGACCGTGTGAGCCCGTCGCTCTTGACATCCGTCTCGAGCGTGCCGGCAAGCAATTTCTGAATCCGTATAGATATCTGGTTACATCATTGCTTTGAGATCCCCGGGATACTGGACCCTGCGAATCTTGCTTCGGTCACACTCGGCCACGGTAGGAGTTCCCGAGAGGCCCATACTCAACCATAGATCTGCCAGTAAGCCTTTCATGACTGCCTTGGCTCCCAGCTTGCCGTTGATCGCCAGGCCATAGATGACAGGCCGGCCTACCAACACGGCCTTTGCTCCGAGGCAGAGAGCTTTGATCACGTCGACACCGGTACGTATGCCCGAGTCGAAAAGAACGGTCATTCTATCTCCAACAGCGTCTACAATCTCCGGCAGCACCTCGAGAGACCCAATAGCCCCGTCCAACTGTCGACCTGGAGAGCGACAGGGCTAAGTAACGTTTTCTTTCTTTTGCGGGTAGGAAGAACTTTTAGGTGGGATGGAGGGGAAGACTCTACTTACCACCATGGTTGGAGACTATAATGCCATCGCACCCAGCTTTGAGAGCCAATTTTGCATCATCAACGTGCTGGATGCCTTTGAGAACAATGGGGCCATCCCAATTTTTGCGTAACAGGTCCAGTTGCTCCCAGGTGTGTGGCTGCCCGGAAAATACTTGTTGAATCCATGCCCGCGATGCAGCAGTGATGTTGTCTTCAATTTTCGAATCCGAGTCCGACTCGTACATCGAACGGAATACAGGGTCTGTGAAACCAATGTCGTTGCCGATACCGCGAATGAATGGGACATAAGCGTTGTCCAGATCAGCAGGGCGCCTTCACCGAGTATCAGCACAGGGTAAAAAAGATACGTGAGTATTAGTTAGTCCCCGGGTTTGTGTTACCAGGCAAGGCTCCAGGTGTCGAGAGTGACCACCAAGACCGAAAATCCGTTCTCCTTGGCTCGTTTAAGAAGAGAGATGGTTATAGCATCGTCTTCCGGCCAGTAGAGCTGATACCATCTCTTTCCATTACCAGATGCAGTCGCAACATCTTCGATCGAGCTGCTACTCGCAGTACTCAAAGTGTAGGGTATACCGACTTCTGCACAGACTTCGGCAAGCCCTGTCTCTTTATCCACGTGGAATAGGCTTTGTACGCCGACTGGAGCCATGATAACCGGTGTGTCGTAGTGTTGACCGAACAAATTGACGGAAAGGTCCTGGTTGTTCATCTAAATTTTACTTGTCAGTTGGATACCACAATGACTTGGGGGTCTCTCTGGTGATAATTACATACAGGCTGCATCATCCTTGGGATTCTAAGCAGTATACGGGTTAATACTACTTACTACCTTCGTCTCTTCTTAGTGGAGGAGCTTACAATTTCCACTGGCGAAAGGCTAGTCGATTGCTGTCCATCGTGGCCTTTTCTCCCGCTCCTCCTGCAACATAATTGAAGGCGTGAACCCCCAATGTTTTGCGTGCCTGTTCTTCCAGCAGACGAGGGTCCGTTGTCACATTCGGCAGATCACCCTTCAAATACCCTTTGCCATATATCTCTGTCTGGTAGGCACCGTAATCTTCAGACATGTTGGTAGAGTATTGAACGTTAGAATGTGTGGTAAAGAATATACAGCACTGTGACTCAGTAGAATTGTATATAGTGAGTTGCAAAACAAAATGGTGGTGAGTGTTTGTTCTGAGCTCAACGTCAGGTGCGGTACACGTGGGATGTGCCTCGGACCTGACCGGCTCAGAAACCTGAAATCGACAAATTACACAACACCTACGGCATACCCTGGTTCTTTCGTTTGTCCATAAGCTGTGAGTATAGCCCTGGCTGAAGAAGAATACCGCTAAAAATACGGAGTACTTGGATAATTGGTTCTTTCCAGCCGACGTCATTTCCTCTCCTACTCTACATACTAGTATTTAGCTGCCAACACAGCCGCAACAACAGTGCAGAATCGCCCCTTAGAACCGAGGTAAAGGATCGCACAGCCTGTTTACGCTGTAGTTCAGGTAATTTCGAAGATCGAGGAAGATATGGCGAACAGCTGACAAAGTGTAATACTCCGTAGGGACATTGGCTTCTCTGTCGATCCCTGCTCCGGCCTTCACTTGGGCCATGAGAAAGTACGGTTGAATGATCAAGAATATGACATACACAGGCCTCAAATACGGAATCCAGCTAGAGATTGGCAAGCAATATAAGCAGCTGTGCTGAGTATGACGATGAAGAGAGGCATAGACTACCAAGTGGCCGTCTCAATTCGGTGAGATCCTTCGACAATACTAATTAGCCCATCTGCCGAACCTAGATATTCATTATAATTACCGTTCGGCCCCATGACTTTGAGTGCTCAAACAGAATCAAAGCCCCTCAAGATGCGGAGCAAACATATCATCCCTGTTACCTGGGGGAGGCCATGGCCAAAGGTGATTGCCCCTCCGCGGTGCTAGTCAGTGAGCCAGCCGCCTGCCCCATATGTAGCGAAGCGGAAAAAAAAAGGGCACCTGCAGGCAATACCACGTCGAACTGTGCCCAAAGCGCCTGAGCACTCCGAAGAGCCTTTTGGAAATATAGTGTGTGAGCAGGCTGTTTCCCCGCCTGTCGGTCGCCGCCTGGATCACGCTCGGTCTTTCTCTCCATCTACTTTCAGTCTGAGATCTTTCATGGGATATTTTGTACTCGAAAGAGCCGCCTGGCGATTCCTCATGGACTCTTCTACGCTTCTCGTGCTGCTGTCGTCGGCCAGCGATCCGCAGTAGGACATAGCCTCAGGCCTCTTCGCCTAGGGAGGATGAAAGCGACTCTCAATCCGAATTGTTAGACCACACTCTTTCTCCCCCTTCTCTACTATCCGCTCGGACCAGGGGTTCCGCTTCGCTGGCAAGAGGCCCGTGTGGTATCACCATGAGTCCTACCAACGAAGTTAGAGAGAAAGAGAGAGAGAGAAAACAAGGCCGGGAAACTGAAGGGCTTACTACAGGATATCCATGGTGATATTCTCAAAAATATGTACTGCCCGGGACAATATGATCTACGCTTCATCACACCACTTCGTCTTGGAGAGATATGGACTTCCGACCGTGTAAACTGCCTGCTCCAAATCGTGTATCCGACTTCAGGTCTGAATAGGTTCACCTGGTGAGTACCAATTTATATAGTTCCTCACTATCAATTGCCGGTTGAACCTCTTCATTGACTGGCGGTATTTAGATGTCCCGTCATGCTGAGAGATATCCGACCAAGTCTGCCGGAAACCGTATGTCCCAGTTGTCGGTGATTTGGCCACTCGACAATGTTGAGTCCTCTTATTTGATGATGAATGTCATTGTTCTTATTGTTGCAAAGGCCACCTTGCTCTGCTCAGGCGTATTGATGAGCTAAACACCCATTTCAACGGGTCGCTTTCGTTCGTGAACAATTGGACCTACTTCTCCGACAATCCGTCGGCAGAGTTCGACCAGTTGACCCGCACTGGTCCTTACGCAGGCACATTGCAAGCATTCACGACGGGGGTCCGGTTTCGAAGCCGCTACAGCCATCTCCTTGCCTCCCGGACTTCGACCAGTCGACTCTGGGCCAGCGACTCCGAACGGGTCATCGAGACAGCCCGACACTTTGCTGCTGGACTGTTCGGACTCGACTGGGAAACTTCGTCGCTTGCTGAGCTAGAGGTCATCCCCGAGACTGTGGACCGGCGTGCAGATACACTTACACCGGGGGATTCCTGTCTGCGGTACATTGAAGATACGGAGTATGGGCATGATTATGGCCTGAGGATGCTGGGACGATTTCAGCAGTCTTATATCCCTCTGATTACCGATCGTCTGCTCTCTCAACACCAAAATGGCGCACTCGGTTCCTTGACGAACATGGAAGTCTTCGGGATGCAGGAGATGTGCGGGTTTGAAACTTTAGTCCGAGGTTCCAGCCCGTGGTGTGCTGTCTTCACTGAGGACGACTGGGACAATTTCGAGTACGCCCGAGATCTGGTCCATTACTATCGTGCAGGCCCGGGAAACCCATATGCGGGCGCAATGGGTTGGCTGTGGCTGAATGCCACAGCTTCTCTTTTACGCTCTGGGCCGGAGGCTGGACCTTTTTTCTTCAGTTTGTAAGTCTTCATTTAGTCATTTGATAATCGGTTCACCTGCGTCTACTGATGGCATCTACTACCAGCGTCCATGATGGCGACATCGCGCCTTTCCTTACTGCTTTAGAAATCCTCAAGGATCCAATTTACGATCCATCACTGCCGACGGCATCGGCCGTTGCAGACCGTGTGTGGCGTACGTCAACCGTGATGACGATGGGCGGCAGAATCACGCTGGAACGCTTGACATGTCCTGGATCCTCGCAAGATCCCTTCATTCGCATCAACATAAACGATGCCGTGATGCCTTTGCCCTACTGTAAATCAGGACCTGGGGCCTCCTGCCCATTGAATCAGTTCGTGGACTTTGTCCAGCGGCGAAGAGGAGAAGTTGGTGATTTCGCCCAGGTATGTGGCCTGGATGGAGACCCGGGCTGGATCACATTCCTCCACCAAGGGCCAACTACCTAAAAACAACCCATAAATAAAACTGTTCAATGATCGAGATGAAAGGATAAGATCCTTGTCTCAGTTGCCACTTGCAAGTTGCCAATTTACCAGTATAATATTATCACGTGACCGTATCCCAGCGAACGGTTGTTTACTTTTACTGTCTGAAGGCGGTGGGAAAGATTCAGTCGGATTTCAATCCTCACCTTCTCGTGTCTTTCACTGTGAGACTCGAGATAGACCAGCGCTTTCTATTCTTTTTTTTGCTTCGATATAATAAGTTCTTCTTCTTTTGTTTTACTAGTTCTTAGTTTCTCTTTGTTTTTCTACCCATCGTGATGGAGTATCACTTTGTTCCACTGGAGGAGCGTGCGAAGGATGAGAAAGGAAACCTCCTGCCTTGGGGCTATGTCTACAAAGAGTATGTCTCTCCTTCTATCTTTCTACAGTCGCTTTGAACACGGCTAACATGGGATTCTCTGAATCGAATAGTGAATCTCGGAATCCCAGACGACCACCCGAGGAGAGCGGCCCGTTTGGAAGGAGGAGGAACGCCCGGTATGAGAACGCCACCAGGTCGCGAACACGCACGGGGACACCAGCAAAGAAGGAGAACCCGAATGTGGCGGAGTTCGGCCGGTTGTTTGCGCTGCAGCAGGAGGAGGAGAAGTCTCGCAACACGTTGCCCAAGTCTGCGTCGTCGTCAAGTTTAGAGAACCCTCGCAAGGCGACGGAGAAGGTCGCCACCGAATGTATTCTTTACGGATACAAGAACAAGGACGTGGAGTGGAAGGCGATCGATGCATTCGAACGCATCTCGCAAGGGCTCATTTGCGAGGACTACCCGCGCAGCGACCCCAGCCTAGCAAACAGCTATGCCCAGCTTCTGAGCGGCAACGATATCGTGATCCGTGCGAACCTATCGGCTGATGCGAATCGCAAGTCGAAGCGCTATGCGGGAGGATACCACTGGATCAAGGTCACATTTGATTCGACCGCTGCGGCTGATCGCGCGTGCTTCTACTCGCCCCAGGAGATTGATGGGTTCTCGGTGTTTTGTGAGCTGTATCACGGCCAAGGGCCAAGCGAAGACGCCCCCATCCCTGTTGAATCCGCCACCGCCAACCGGCTACGAATGAAGAACCAACGCACTCTGACCACCTCTCACTCGACGAATTTCCTACAGTCCAAAGACACCGAGCGGTCGACGACGCTGCCCCGGTCGTTCCGCGTGAACAATCTCGCCAGCGTCGCCGACGCAGATGAAGAGGCATCGCCGAGCTCGAGTGCGACCGCCAGTTCTGCAACTATGACTGCACCAGGATCCGGCGCCGGTATGGCCACGGGCGTGGACCAGGCCCTCACCGCTTCTGTGCAGCGACGCGCCCCCGAGCCGAAGCCCGAGTCTGAATTCATGACACATATTCCGACCGTGCGTCGGACCAAGCTGCGACCGATATCCGAAGCCCTGCCCCCGCAACCCACAGTCACCGAGCGTGTTCTGCGGTCGATTCCCATCCTCAGCTGGTTCACCGGGGACATCGTCGGGGACGGCCCGCAGCTTCGCGAAGACGGCAGCTTCGACTACGATAAATCAAATACTTACTGGCGTTTCTGGTACATGGTGGATTGTATTCTGGGCACGGACATATGCGGACTGAAAGAAGAGTC